GAAATATAGACAGATACTGAAAGGCCGAAACGTTATAATAAATATGGCGACAAAGATGAGGATAATAGTCCGAATAATGTAAATAATGTACATAATACCTCATCTCAAAATATAGACAGATACTGAATGACCGAAACGTTGTAATAAATATGGCGACAAAGATGAGGATAATAGTCCGAATAATGTAAATAATGTACATAATACCTCATCTCAGAAATATAGACAGATACTGAATGACCGAAACGTTGTAATAAATATGGCGACAAAAGATGAGGATAATAGTCCGAATAATGTAAATAATGTACATAATACCTCATCTCAGAAATATAAACAGATACTGAATGACCGAAACGTTGTAATAAATATGGCGACAAAGATGAGGATAATAGTCCGAATAATGTAAATAATGTACATAATACCTCATCTCAGAAATATAGACAGATACTGAATGACCGAAACGTTGTAATAAATATGGCGACAAAGATGAGGATAATAGTCCGAATAATGTAAATAATGTACATAATACCTCATCTCAGAAATATAGACAGATACTGAAAGGCCGAAACGTTGTAATAAATATGGCGACAAAGATGAGGATAATAGTCCGAATAATGTAAATAATGTACATAATACCTCATCTCAGAAATATAGACAGATACTGAATGACCGAAACGTTGTAATAAATATGGCGACAAAGATGAGGATAATAGTCCGAATAATGTAAATAATGTACATAATACCTCATCTCAGAAATATAGACAGATACAGAAGGGCCGAAACGTTGTAATAAATATGGCGACAAAGATGAGGGATAATAGTCCGAATAATGTAAATAATGTACATAATACCTCATCTCAGAAATATAGACAGATACTGAAAGGCCGAAACGTTGTAATAAATATGGCGACAAAGATGAGGATAATAGTCCGAATAATGTAAATAATGTACATACCTCATCTCAGAAATATAGACAGATACTGAATGACCGAAACGTTGTAATAAATATGGCGACAAAGATGAGGATAATAGTCCGAATAATGTAAATAATGTACATAATACCTCATCTCAGAAATATAGACAGATACTGAATGGCCGAAACGTTGTAATAAATATGGCGACAAAGATGAGGATAATAGTCGAATAATGTAAATAATGTACATAATACCTCATCTCAGAAATATAGACAGATACTGAATGACCGAAACGTTGTAATAAATATGGCGACAAAGATGAGGATAATAGTCGAATAATGTAAATAATGTATAATACCTCATCTCAGAAATATAGACAGATACTGAATGGCCGAAACGTTGTAATAAATATGGCGACAAAGATGAGGATAATAGTCCGAATAATGTAAATAATGTACATAATACCTCATCTCAGAAATATAGACAGATACTGAAAGGCCGAAACGTTGTAATAAATATGGCGACAAAGATGAGGATAATAGTCCGAATAATGTAAATAATGTACATAATACCTCATCTCAGAAATATAGACAGATACTGAATGACCGAAACGTTGTAATAAATATGGCGACAAAGATGAGGATAATAGTCCGAATAATGTAAATAATGTACATAATACCTCATCTCAGAAATATAGACAGATACTGAATGGCCGAAACGTTGTAATAAATATGACAAGATGAGGATAATAGTCCGAATAATGTAAATAATGTACATAATACCTCATCTCAGAAATATAGACAGATACTGAAAGGCCGAAACGTTGTAATAAATATGGCGACAAAGATGAGGATAATAGTCCGAATAATGTAAATAATGTACATAATACCTCATCTCAGAAATATAGACAGATACTGAATGACCGAAACGTTGTAATAAATATGGCGACAAAGATGAGGATAATAGTCCGAATAATGTAAATAATGTACATAATACCTCATCTCAGAAATATAGACAGATACTGAATGGCCGAAACGTTGTAATAAATATGGCGACAAAAGATGAGGATAATAGTCCGAATAATGTAAATAAATACATAATACCTCATCTCAGAAATATAGACAGATACTGAATGACCGAAACGTTGTAATAAATATGGCGACAAAGATGAGGATAATAGTCCGAATAATGTAAATAATGTACATAATACCTCATCTCAGAAATATAGACAGATACTGCATGCTTGTTGTTTGTATAAGTATGTATGTATGTGTGTGATCATCATCACAAAGTAATAACGATACATAAACATCTTTACAAAAGCCTAATGCAGGTCATCTCTAAGCAAGAAGAATCTTCACTTAGAAATATCATGAAGAAATACACTATCCCTGTTGATCCGAACAAAAAATAAATTATCTATTAGAACAAATTTAAAACAGCTAACCTTATCTTCAAACATAACAACAGACTGAAAAATAATATGGAAACTCTGAAGAACCGGCATAAATGTTCCAAATGCCTCTTAAAGAACCATGTTCTTGATCAAACCAAACTCACAAATAATTACATCGGTCACACTACTACATGCTTATCAAGACGACTTACATTGCACCTGTAGGGAGACCATAGTTGTTTTCCCTTGGTTTAGCTCATGGGAGTTCAGACCCTTTAGAGAGAAAAACACTTCTGTCCCTTCTTTCTTTTCTTTTTTTTCTTATTTTTTTTTTTTTTGCTTCGGTTTTTTTTTCTTGGTGGGTGGGGAATCGTTTCTTTACCTTCCTGAACACCCACGTGGAAACTGGTCAACACTGTGCACAGCCTAACGTGAACAAAAAAAAAGTAATTTCGATTCACCTAGCTACGGATGGTCAAAGGCCATAAGTCTGGTATGTTATTTCTTTCTTCTTGTTCTGTAAACCTCTTCGTTCCTTTGGGACAATATGAACAATCATTTGTTTTGGGACATTTCTAAATCCTTTTAATATACTTATGTAAGTTGTTTGCCTTAATAAATATTTTGTTTGTTACCGGCGCTTATTTTGTCTTTCTATATTCGTATTCAGTGTCAGCGTATCAATGGCTGGTCAATGATACTAATAAACCCATCCGACCATAGCACCATTATAATTCACTTTAAGAGACTCACAAACTTACCAGACTCCATCCGAAACATAGAAGTAAAAAATACAAACATGATAACTTCATCCACATGTTAAAAAAGATAAAGGCCAAAAGTCAATAATATTAACTACGAACACGTTCACAATGTGCTAACTGTGTTTGGGAAATAAAACATCCCTATAACTCTAAATACATACGCGCAAGCCATATATTCAGTTAAAAAGTAAAAATGAAATTATCCTTGAAAATGGCTAAAAGTATAGCCGAAAGCGCTCGGGAATGTAGAAACTTTTGGATAATTTTAAACACTTTGTGCCCCAAAAAGAAAACACTTATACGAAAACAAGAAAAATTAAATAAAAAGCTTAATCATCGAAGTATCTTGTCAGTCGTCTTTAAAGAAATATATATATATATATATATATATATATATATATATATATATATATATATATATGTGTGTGTGTGTGTGGAGGGTGTCTCAGGACGTCCTTCTATCTAAATATCTATCTATCTGTATATCTTCACTTAGAAATATCATAAAGAAATACACTACCCCAGTTGACCCGAAGAAAAAATTATCTATTAGAAAAAATTCTAAGCAGCTAACCTTATCTTGAAAAATAACACCACATCTAAAAAAAAAAATGAAAAATCTATGAAAGACCAACATTATTTACGAGCTCAAATGCCCCTTAAAAAACTGTGTTGCTGACAAAACCAAAGTCATAAGTAAGTACATTGGTCACACTACTACATGCCTATCCAAACGACTTACATTACACCTATCCAACCACAGCACCATAATGATTCATTTAAAGACATTCACAAACCAACCAGACTCCATCTGAAACATACTAGTAAAAAATACAAATATAATAACTTCATCTACATGTTAAAAAAGATTAAAAATAATGGAAGACATAATAATAAAGAAAGAAAAAGCCAACACTCAATTCTATTAACTATGAACACGGCCACAATGTGCTGGCCGTGTTTGGAAAATGAAACAGCCCTATAGCTCTAGAGGCACAACCCGTACATTCAGTTAAAAAGTAAAAATCAAATCATTCGTGACAATTGCTAAAAGAATAACCGAAATCGCTTGGAAATGCAGAACTTTTGGAGAGTATTTACACACTTTGTGTCCAGAGAAGAAAATACTTTTACGGACACAAGAAAAACTAATTAAAAAGCTTAATCGCAGTACCTTATCAGTCGTCTTTTTCGATGCATGTATAAAAGAGAGATGCTACCTAAACACACACACACACACACACACACACACACACACACACACACATATATATATATATATATATATATATATATATATATATATATATATAGTTATCCATATACAAGGCTGTTTCGCTTATGTTCATAGTGGGTAGACATCTGTTTGCTTCAAGCCGGGATCTAAACTCGACCGATTTGGCACCAGTCAGAGATTCTACCCCTAAGCTATTGGCACACGACAGAGAAAGGGAATTTTTTTAACGTATTATATACGTGATGTATACAAACGCCAGTAGCCAGTAGCGTTCGATTCATACCTGAACTGAGATGCATTAATAGCAGCAGCAGCGACTGTTATGTGTGTGTATGTCTGTATCTGCCTACCTTTCTGTCTGTCTTTATCTATCTATCTATCTATCTATCTATCTATCAGTATGCCTGTCTGTTATTTTAGTCTGTCGGCCTATCTTTCTCTCTTATGGATCTATTTTGTGTGTTATTATTCATTTCCTGAACCACAATCCAGTTTTAGAATGCCTTTATTATATGTTGTAAAAAGTTGCGCCACGCGGGGAAACCGTATTGCAGACAAGGCAACATTTTCACTGCATTGTAAGTAGAAGTTTAGTTAATGTGATTTTGCGAACTTCTGTTTCGAGAACAAATTCGAAACGACATGTCTTTCAGGGTGTCTGCGTTATATATTTCCCGCCAAAATCTACTTACGTCGCATTTCGCCGCAGCGGAAGAAAAAAAGGTTTAACGATATGGAAAAAAAAAGAAGAAGAGAACAGATAGAAAAGAAGAAAGAAAGAAAATAGAAGGAAAATGGAAGAGGAAAGGTTAGAAATGGTAAAATGATTAAATAATAAAAGCGAAAAAAGAAGGAAGGGATAAAAATGAAGAAAAATGAAAGAAGGGAACATTAAGAAAGAAGAAAAATTGAAGGAGGGAAATTACGAAGAAAAATTGAAGAACGAAAATTAAGAAAGAAGAAAAATTGAAGGAGGGAAATTAAGAAAGAAGAAAAATTGAAGAAGAAAGTTAATAAATGGTGAAAGAATAAAGCAATTCATGAAAATTGAAAGAAAGCAGAAAGAAAGAGAAGGGGGAAAATGAATAAAGAAGTAAAATAAAAGACGGGTGAAGGAAGAAGAAATTACAAAAGCTGTAAACATGGAAGAAGAAATTTTAGAAATGAAAAATAATAGAAATATTGATAGAATTAATTCTAGAAATAGTGAAAGAATAAAAAAAAACTTGAAAAAAATGGTAAGAAGGGAAGAAGGCAAGGAAGTAGGGAAAAAAATGAAAATAGAAGAAGCAAAATTACAAAAGAAAGAAAAATGAAAGAACATTAGAAATCGTGAAAGAATGGAAGAATTGAAGAAAAAAATAGCCAAAAGTAAGGAACGAAGAGAGGGGGAAAGGAAAGGATAGAAAGAATGAAAGAAGAAAAGGAGAAGGAGGAGATTACAAAAAAAAAGGAATTGTGGAAGAAGGAAGAATGAAAGGAAGGAAGGAAGGAAGGAAGGAAAAAAACAAGAAAGAAGTAGGGAAATTACGAAAGAAATTGAAAGAGAAAATGCACTCGAAATGACAGAAGAATTAAATAATTGAAGAAAAAAAGAAGGAAATTGAAAGAGGTAAAAAGAAAATTGCAAAAGAAGGAAAAATAGAAAAAAACGTTAAGAATAATGAAAAAAAAATGAAAGAAAGAAAGAAAGAGAAAAGGAAAAGGGTGGGATAGAAATAATGAAAAAAAGGAAAAAAAAAACAATTGAATTTTAATGAATGAGCAAAAAGAAAGAAAAAAAATGAATGAAAGACTAGGGTAGACTGTTCTAGTTCCACGCGCCATGTTTGATGGATGTCAGTTATCAGTTATCTCCTGCTAATTTTCCCTCTGAAAGTTCTTTTGAAACAAAGAGTTCAGTTCGAAATTCCAACCACCTGAAGAAGGCCGTAGCGTACAACGGCCGAAACGTTGTGATAAATATGACGACAAAGATGAGGACAATAGTCCGAATAATGTAAATAATGAACAAGCATTCATTGGATAATAAATCAACACTACTGTGTAATGCGACAATTTAATAATTGCAGCTATGCGACAATTTTATAATCGCTATATTTTCATGTAGTCGATTTTGTGCACTTTTGGGAGAATCGGATCCCAGAAACATTTCGTGAGTCTCTCCGAAACTATCTAATAAAAGACAGGAAAAAATTGAAGAAGAAAAGAAATTAACAACAAAAAATAATATACCCTAAAAAAGTTAAAATTTACTAAGTAAGGAAAATGAAAAAAAAGAAGGCATAGATATACAAAATGGGATAAATATTAAAGCGGACAGGGAGATCTTCAGCCATGACTGGCAACCAATCTAGGAGAAGGAAAACTCACAATTCAAAACCCGGGAGAAGGCAACAGAAAATGGCTCCAGTATTTTTATCAAGTGCATTTATAGCAATGGATGACATATTGACGTAAAATAATAAGAAACAGTGGAGAGCCATGATTGCCTACACCCTGACGCGTCTTGGCAGACTGAAAAAGAGAATGAGGTTTATCTGTGTTTATTTCGATCTATACAGACCTTTCAATTTGATAAGTCTAACGCCATAAGTTTAGGCACTTGTTAAAATTCTTCTTAGCAAATTTTACTAATTAATTAATCTTATTAACCAATTAATTTAATTAATTAATTATTTATCGAGAGCAAGAGAATTCACGAGCTTGTGTTAGATCGACATTTTCAAATGGATGTCATTCAATTCTGTCAGCTGTATACAGCCGGTTTCTCAGATCCATGGTTAAAATGGATTGATGTGAATGAAGTCTGTGGGTCATAAAAGGGACCCTTTGTCCGTAAATTAATTGATATTAATTAATATTAATGTATTTCCCGGTTCTTTTTTCGTATACATATTTTTTCGAAGTTCCACTATAGATGACATTCATGGTGTGGCACCAGTTCAGGAATATCTAAACTGTCAGTTGTATAAACCAACTTCTAAGATCAATTATTAAAAACAGCTCTGAGCGAGTGAAGACTGAGGATCTTGGCAAAGATAATCCTTCTCTGGATATTTTGGGCTGACGCTGTAGAATCACAAACAAGGAACTGTACCAAATAACAGAAACCACATCACTTGAGGACTGCCAACAGCAGAAACAACTAAAATGGATAGGAAAATGTAACTCTAAAACAGTGGTTATTAAACTTCTGACCCCCAATGGATTGTTCAATATGATCCCATACACACTTCACTTGACTGTCAAAGTAATTATCACCAATCCTATTATTTGCCAATATGTCTTCCAAATATTTCAATTGTTTGAATTTACTGTACTTTAGATATGGATTGCTAGGAAAAAAAAACCATAAGCATTGATAACTTTATTATATATATATATATTTACTGAAAGCAAAATAAAGTTATAATTCAGTTTTATTACACAAGAAAAAGGAAGAGAACATAAATGTGTAAGTATTTTTTTAATATCTCGGCTACAATAAAACAGACTTTTACTAATCTAGTGAGATATTTGCTCTTGTTTCTGTGCAATCCGTCAAACACAACACAGGAGAGGAACTACCAGTACCTAGAAATCGAGTCCCATACCCCCAGCATTTGGTTCGCATACCCCTTAGGGGTATGGATACCCCCAGGTTAAGAACCCCTGCTCTAAAAGAAAAAATAATGACATAATCAAGATGCTGATATTCCAAATCACTTCAAACAGAAGATCAGGGTGGAAACCCCCATCAATACAAAAAGAGTAACAAAAGCTGCATTTGATTAACCTATTCTCCTACAATTTGTTTTAAAAGAAATATTTTATAAATTTCAACCGAAATCAGTACTGGCTGCTCGGTCGATGAATGCCAAATGTTTCCTTATAGGGTGATCGGCTAATATTAACATTACCATTAGAAATAAGGAGAACAGATAATACACTTTGATCTTAGCCATATTGCCAGGGAGTCAAGAAGAATTTACCCCGAGTGTCACTGGCTGTTCGGTCAATGAATGTCAAATGTTTCCTTATAGGGTGATGGGCTAATATTAGCATTAACATTAGAGATCAGGAGAATAGATAATACACTTTGATCTTAGCCATATTGCCAGGGAGTCAAGAAGAATTTACCCCGAGTGTCACTGGCTGCTCGGTCAATGAATGTCAAATGTTTCCTTATAGGGTGATGGGCTAATATTAGCATTAACATTAGAGATGAGGAGAACAGATAATACACTTTGATCTTAGCCATATTGCCAGGGAGTCAAGAAGAGTTTACCCCGAGTGTCACTGGCTGCTCGTTCAATGAATGCCAAATGTTTCCTTATAGGGTGATCGGCTAATATTAGCATTAACATTAGAGATGAGGAGAACAGATAATACACTTTGATCTTAGCCATATTGCGAGGGAGTCAAGAAGAGTTTACCCCGAGTGTCACTGGCTGCTCGGTCAATGAACGCCAAATGTTTCCTTATAGGGTGATCGGCTAATATTAGCATTAACATTAGAGATGAGGAGAATAGATAATACACTTTGATCTTAGCCATATTGCCAGGGAGTCAAGAAGAGTTTAACCCGAGTGTCGCTGGCTGCTCGGTCAATGAACGTCAAATGTTTCCTTATAGGGTGATCGGCTAATATTAGCATTAACATTAGAGATGAGGAGAACAGATAATACACTTTGATCTTAGCCATATTGCGAGGGAATCAAGAAGAGTTTACCCCGAGTGTCACTGGCTGCTCGGTCAATGAATGCCAAATGTTTCCTTATAGGGTGATCGGCTAATATTAGCATTAACATTAGAGATGAGGAGAATAGATAATACACTTTGATCTTAGCCATATTGCCAGGGAGTCAAGAAGATTTTAACCCGAGTGTCACTAGCTGCTCGGTCAATGAATGCCAAATGTTTCCTTATAGGGTGATCGGCTAATATTAGCATTAACATTAGAGATGAGGAGAACAGATAATACACTTTGATCTTAGCCATATTGCGAGGGAGTCAAGAAGAGTTTACCCCGAGTGTCACTGGCTGCTCGGTCAATGAATGCCAAATGTTTCCTTATAGGGTGCTCTGCTAATATTAACATTACCATTAGAGATGAGGAGAACAGATAATACACTTTGATCTTAGCCATATTGCCAGGGAGTCAAGAACAGTTTAACCCGAGTGTCACTGGCTGCTCGGTCAAGAATGCCAAATGTTTCCTTATAGGGTGATCGGCTAATATTAGCATTAACATTAGAGATGAGGAGAACAGATAATACACTTTGATCTTAGCCATATTGCGAGGGAGTCAAAAAGAGTTTACCCCGAGTGTCACTGGCTGCTCGGTCAATGAACGCCAAATGTTTCCTTATAGGGTGATCGGCTAATATTAGCATTAACATTAGAGATGAGGAGAATAGATAATACACTTTGATCTTAGCCATATTGCCAGGGAGTCAAGAAGAGTTTACCCCGAGTGTCACTGGCTGCTCGGTCAATGAATGCCAAATGTTTCCTTATAGGGTGCTCTGCTAATATTAACATTACCATTAGAGATGAGGAGAACAGATAATACACTTTGATCTTAGCCATATTGCCAGGGAGTCAAGAAGAGTTTACCCCGAGTGTCACTGGCTGCTCGGTCAATGAATGCCAAATGTTTCCTTATAAAGTGATCGGCTAATATTAGCATTAACATTAGAGATGAGGAGAACAGATAATACACTTTGATCTTAGCCATATTGCGAGGGGAGTCAAGAAGAGTTTTACCCCAGTGTCACTGGCTGCTCGGTCAATGAACGCCAAATGTTTCCTTATAGGGTGATCGGCTAATATTAGCATTAACATTAGAGATGAGGAGAACAGATAATACACTTTGATCTTAGCCATATTGCGAGGGAGTCAAGAAGAGTTTACCCCGAGTGTCACTGGCTGCTCGGTCAATGAACGCCAAATGTTTCCTTATAGGGTGATCGGCTAATATTAGCATTACCATTAGAGATGAGGAGAACAGATAATACACTTTGATCTTAGCCATATTGCCAGGGAGTCAAGAAGAGTTTAACCCGAGTGTCACTGGCTGCTCGGTCAATGAACGCCAAATGTTTCCTTATAGGGAGATCGGCTAATATTAGCATTAACATTAGAGATGAGGAGAACAGATAATACACTTTGATCTTAGCCATATTGCGAGGGAGTCAAGAAGAGTTTACCCCGAGTGTCACTGGCTGCTCGGTCAATGAATGCCAAATGTTTCCTTATAGGGTGCTCTGCTACTATTAACATTACCATTAGAGATGAGGAGAACAGATAATACACTTTGATCTTAGCCATATTGCGAGGGAGTCAAGAAGAGTTTACCCCGAGTGTCACTGGCTGCTCGGTCAATGAATGCCAAATGTTTCCTTATAGGGTGATCGGCTAATATTAGCATTAACATTAGAGATGAGGAGAATAGATAATACACTTTGATCTTAGCCATATTGCCAGGTAGTCAAGAAGAGTTTACCCCGAGTGTCACTGGCTGCTCGGTCAATGAATGCCAAATATTTTCTTATCGGGTGCTCTGCTAATATTAACATTACCATTAGAGATGAGGAGAACAGATAATACACTTTGATCTTAGCCATATTGCCAGGGAGTCAAGAAGAGTTTAACCCGAGTGTCACTGGCTGCTCGGTCAATGAACGTCAAATGTTTCCTTATAGGGTGATCGGCTAATATTAGCATTAACATTAGAGATGAGGAGAACAGATAATACACTTTGATCTTAGCCATATTGCGAGGGAGTCAAGAAGAGTTTACCCCGAGTGTCACTGGCTGCTCGGTCAATGAATGCCAAATGTTTCCTTATAGGGTGCTCTGCTAATATTAACATTACTATTAGAGATGAGGAGAACAGATAATACACTTTGATCTTAGCCATATTGCGAGGGAGTCAAGAAGAGTTTACCCCGAGTGTCACTGGCTGCTCGGTCAATGAATGCCAAATGTTTCCTTATAGAGTGATCGGCTAATATTAGCATTAACATTAGAGATGAGGAGAATAGATAATACACTTTGATCTTAGCCATATTGCCAGGGAGTCAAGAAGAGTTTACCCCGAGTGTCACTGGCTGCTCGGTCAATGAATGCCAAATATTTTCTTATCGGGTGCTCTGCTAATATTAACATTACCATTAGAGATGAGGAGAACAGATAATACACTTTGATCTTAGCCATATTGCGAGGGAGTCAAGAAGAGTTTACCCCGAGTGTCACTGGCTGCTCGGTCAATGAATGCCAAATGTTTCCTTATAGGGTGATCGGCTAATATTAGCATTAACATTAGAGATGACGAGAACAGATAATACACTTTGATCCTAACTCGATTGGCAGAGTATCAATAAGTTTAACTCGAGTATTACTGGTTGCTCGGTGAATAAACGCCAAATGTTTCCTTATAGGGTGATTTGCTAATATTAACATTGCCATTAGAGATGGTGAGAACAGATACTACACTTTGATCTTAGCCATTTTGCCAGGGAGTCAAGAAGAGTTTAACTCGAGTATTACTGTTTGCTCGGTCAATAAACGCCAAATGTTTCCTTATAAGGAAACGGCTAATATTACCATTACCATTATTTGCTATAACCTGTTGCCATTCATTAGTAAGCTCTTCTTGTGAGTAAAGTTCTACAGGTTTGGATGTGAAAAATTTTTCATCAGATTTTCGAATAAGATTTTCATTAAAGAAATGTTTCCCCCACCAAAGCACTGGACACTCTCGTCGATATAGTAAAGGAAAGCCAAAAAAAAATTGACTGGTCATCAACTGCATGAAAAAAGAGAGAATATGGTTGGCAGCAAAAGAAGACGAAAAAATCCCATGACGCAAACCACGTATCAGAAATGTCAAAGAAATGCAGAAGTTTAACCTTTCAACCCTGACCACCGGTTTACCGCTTTTAGAAAAAAAATGACTTAATGCCCCCCATCGGTTGAACGGTGGTTAAAAACTTACGTCGTGCTTTGCTATTGGTTGTCTTATTTTGAAGAGCCAATCAGAAAAGCTGTAATATTCTGATGTCATGGAACGTTATACTAACATGTCCGTGATTTTTCATTGTGTTCTCTGCGTGCGTTTTGTGTAAAAAAAATGATTGTTTTTGCCATGAAACGTGCAGAGTCTAAACTTCGACCGTCAAGGAAGAAATCAGGGACAAAACGTGCGAGAAAATAACTGGCAATACTTTTTATATCTACTGTGATACATTATATACCAATTATTTGCGAATTTTGACTCCGGAACTCAAGAAGAAGGGAGAAAATTGTTCAGGAACTCAGGGTTCAAACGGTTAAATATACAGGGTGTCTATAAAGTTCGTGTGCACTTTAAAAAAATTATAACTTTATTTGTATTTGCGATAGAAATAATTTGTAAAAAGGATTAGAAAGAAGTAAATCTATATTTTTTACGGTTTTATTGAAATTTTATTTAAGTTTCCACATGTCCTCCATCATTAGCAATACAAAGGGTAATACGATTTTGTAGTTCACAGAAAACATTTGCCAACTGATTTACAGTAATGTCTGAAATCACAGCTATTTTAGCTCTACTTAAAACTAGGTACATTAAACTTTATAACATTTTTT